GAGAGAGAGAGAGAGAGAGAGAGAGAGAGAGAAATGGGCATAGAAGCAAGAAAAGTTAAGACACCTTAAGGTGTTACTTTTTGCTGCTCTTAAACAGATCTCCTGTGTGACCCCATGGAGGTTGATATCACTGCTAACCCCACAAGTCATGACTGAAAATGATGGCCCCCACAGATATCATTATGCCTTGGCATGTTGTAGGAACACAGACATTGTGATTTGTTATAGGGACACTTGATCGTTCAATATATGTGTGGATAAAACTATGGTTTCATAGTTTTTGAGGCGCTGGAATGCCTATGTCCCTGGAGTGCTAAGGATGCACAGCTAAGTTTTCTTCATTTCAGTAGTCTTGCTACAGCTATCTCGTTGTCTGATACTCCGTTCATTTCTATGCAGTTTAACGTTTACTGTTGCTCCCTGCAGTTTTCTTGTCCACCTGCTCCAGCTTTTTGGACTGTGTGTAATCCTTCTCATGGAATACCAATAATTATTTTCTTGGGGGGAGGAGGAGGAGGTATCTGGATTATGTCTCCTTTTCTGCCACCATCCATATAATTTTCAGAAACTTTCCCACTATCTTCAGTCATTTATGATCTCTTTAACTCGAATTTAAGAAACCAAGCTACTTTTCTGGGGGTGGGGAAGCCATTCATATGCTGCCTGAATAACCATTTCTTATTCCCCCTTCCCTCTGTCTTCAGTAGCCAAAGATTATTGAACTGAAATATTTACTTAGGATAGTTCTAGCTCACATTTAATTTGCAGATTGCGTGGAGGCCACCTGTAGCTGTGATTTCTATCATCCATGGCTCTGAAAAGGAATTAGACCAGATTGTGGCAGCTGTGTTTGTCAACAGCTTCTTATTAGAATGGTTCTAGGCTATTTTCAGGTACAGAATGCCATTTGCAGAGGAAAAAGTAGAACACCGAGAGATTGCTGCTATGTCATATATTAAAGGAGGGTCCTCTGATGTTGTTAAAAAGATAAATATAATGAAAATATGTTTAGGACGGTTATCTAAACAAATACAGAAATTTATTTGGATATTATTTAAAGACTTTAATCTCTGCACTGTACATTCCGTTTATTTTTCTTTGAAAGAGTAGCGATTGAAAACTCTTCTATGATTAATCTGTATAGAGAAAGAATCTCCTAGGTTACTTCATTAAACAATACATATTTAGAATGGGGAAAATGTATGCAGAGAGAGAGAAGTGCCAATAACCATATGGCAATTCTGATCAGTAAATGTCAGGGGAAATGGTTACGCTATTTCAGTAATGCCAAGTTTACACTTTTTAAAAACAATCTTCCTGACCTGCATCCATTCCACCAGTTTTTGGCCTTTTGTTAAGCACTAGGTTTTGGCAGCTTGCTAGTGATCAGCTAGATTTAATGAATGGTGCAAGGGCTGGGGGTGGGGGTGGTCTTAATAAAGAAGTTAAGTCAAGATCGATTAAGATCTTTTACACTATAGGATCTCTCAGTGGCTGATTTTTTCAGTAAGTTCATTAGTTTCCATCTGCCTTCCTGGTATATGACATCCCAGCGTATAAAATGCAGGGTTTTTCCAGTTTTTTGTCCACTTTTAATACCAGTAAAAAAAATATGGTAGAGGTCTTCTGCCTTTTTCTCCTTAAATAGATTTACTCCCCTCTTAAGAGACGGCATCAGTGGTGGTAGGCAGAGAGGAAGATTGCTACAAATGGAGATTGGGCAAAATTCTGCAAAATTCCATGGATGAGTCAGGGTGATTGGATGAATAACAGCCTTATCTGGTAATGTCCATAAGATGCTTTAGCAAAAATTGATACTTCACTGAGTTTTACAGTTTGTAAGGACTAGTTCCTTGGGTTACATTTTGTGGCAAGTGGTACGGCATATGGGGAAATAGCTCACACGTTCAAGCTATCATATTCTAGAAAGAATACAATATTGGCATTCAAATATGGGCAGTAAATTAAAGCATCTCAACTGGTCTGCAGGAACATATGCCTGCCAAAAAAGCAAATGTAATACTTATGGCCCTGTCAATTAACCAACTTGTAGTGATTTTTATTGTTATTTAGTTATTTAAATTCTAAGTTTGAAGATACTGTGAATGTTTTAATATTTTTCTTTTCTCAAGTGAGCTACCAAAAGTCACCAGATTGTAGCAGGATATAAATAAATACACGGCTTCTAGAGCTGCTGAAAATTGAATATGATTTTTCTCCTGCCTGTTTTGCTGCATCGTTTCTTTTATTGACATAGCTTAGATACTTTCTTTCTTTTCTCTAGGGACACTTGCTGATTCTAGATCTTGAAAGCCACTGATGTGAACTCATTGTTGTCACCATGACTGAAGCCCTCATTTCGGCTGTCCTGAATTTGACTGAAACCAATGCACTGGCCAACAATGTGACCAGCAATGCCACTAACAAGTGTTCCTTGACCAAAACCGGTTTTCAGTTCTATTACTTGCCAGCTGTCTATATCGTAGTCTTCATCACTGGATTCCTAGGCAACAGCGTGGCCATCTGGATGTTTGTCTTCCACATGAGGCCATGGAGTGGCATCTCAGTTTACATGTTCAATTTAGCCCTAGCAGACTTCTTGTACGTCCTGACACTCCCTGCCCTAATATTCTACTACTTCAATCAAACGGACTGGATCTTTGGAGATTTCATGTGCAAGCTGCAGAGATTTATCTTTCATGTCAATCTATATGGAAGCATCTTGTTCCTCACATGTATCAGTGTGCACAGATACACTGGGGTGGTGCATCCTTTGAAATCATTAGGGAGACTGAAAAAAAAGAATGCTGTTTACATCAGCGCCCTGGTCTGGGTTATCGTGGTGGTGGCAATCTCTCCCATCTTCTTTTACTCTGGAACTGAAGTAAGGAAAGTCAAAACCATGGCGTGCTATGACACAACAGTAGACAATTACCTGCGTAGCTACTTTATTTACAGCATGTGCACCACTGTCTTCTTGTTTTGCATCCCGTTCATTCTGATCCTCGGTTGCTATGGATTAATCGTGAAAGCACTGATTTACAAAGATTTAGACAATTCTCCGCTTAGGAGGAAATCAATTTACTTGGTTATTATAGTGTTGGCAGTATTTGCTGTGTCTTATCTTCCTTTCCACGTGATGAAAAACTTGAATCTACGCGCCCGGCTGGATTTTCAGACTCCGGAAATGTGTGCATTTAACAACAGGGTTTATGCTACCTACCAAGTAACTCGAGGGCTAGCGAGTCTCAACAGCTGCGTGGATCCTATTTTATATTTTTTGGCTGGAGACACTTTTCGTAGAAAGCTCTCAAGGGCAACTCGGAAAGCCTCAAGACGGAGTGAGCTCAATGTGCAATCCAAAAGTGAGGATATGACTCTGAGTATTTTATCTGAGTGCAAACAAAATGGAGACACAAGCTTATGAATGGTTCCTTGTCCCTTCCTTTTCCTTCCCTTCCTTCCCCTGCTTTTTTCTTCTTCGCAAACACTCTCTATCCTTTGCCATCCTAACTTTTAATTCTTATAATACTGATTTTGTGCATTAAAAAAGCCCAAATCATAACCAGTGAAGAACATGTGTGCATATGTTTGTGTGTGTGTATGTGTGTTAAACCATCTTTTAGTTGCCTAAAAGACTTTGAGGAAATGAAGTGAAATTGAAATTCTTTTAAAGGAAAAAAATGAGAAAAGTGTTTAAAATGTTAATGTAATGGAAACCATTGTGGCATGTACAATTTAAAGAGAGAAGAGATTAGGTGTCTCTTTCCCTATATACAACCATATCCTTGACTTAAAAAAACCTGAGAAATCAAATAGTTGTGTAAGATCCAAGTCTACTCTTCTATGTCCAAATCTCTTCCCTGTTCATTGCTGTGGTCATAGGAAGCGAAGGATGATCTATGAATGCCAGACCCATTATGGGCTAATACAAAATCCTCAAGAATATTATAGCTTATTACATTCATTTAAAAGAACAAAAGCCCTTCCAGCAGTTGGCCATACTTTACTCAGTTAATCAATAAGAAGCCTGCTCTTACTTCTTTATTTTATTATAGTTGATTTTGGTTTCATAATTAACTCAATGCATATTAGCCAGTTTGAATTTATTACTTTTTATATTGATTTGGGGTACTTTCCCGGTGTACTTGTAAGTTCCCTTATTGTAGCAATTTTGGATAGAGAATTAAATTTCTGTGCACTTTATCATTTTGGATTCTTACTGAGAATCCATTATCATTTATTTTGTGATTTGTTCTAGCCGACCTATCAAAGCAGATAATGTTCCCTCCCAAGTCTGGATCAATGTAGAAAGTAGAACTTTGCAGCACTTTGGATTTGATTCCAAGAAGGTATTTCAAAACAAGTTCCTACGAATGCGCTGACTACTTTTAAGACTTGCAAATTAGAGCTATGGTTGGGTTCTGCACATTCAAACCATCTTTATGGAACTGAACCTGAATCATTGCATAATCCTATCAAATAGTCATCCCCAATCTGGTGTCTTTAGCAGCTACCCCAAGAATGATTACCTAATACATCTGGAAGCCTCCATAATAGCACAGGTTGATGTGAATATAAATAGTATATACAATAGGATAATAGACTATCATTCACTTACTCATTATTCACTTACCCATACAGAATTCGGGATTTAGCATATGCTGGAAAATGTGAGTTAATGGTTCTACCTGTATAGAATAAAATATAAATTTTTTGCTTTGGTTGATAATACCAATAATAATAATATTGATATGGCTAGGACTGGGGCAATCCAGTTGAGCTCTTGATATGCCTTTCCTACATGCCTTGATATTTATTTGCTGGTGGAAATGTTCATATGAATATAAATGCTGTTAGCAACACAAAAATTGGATATAACTAATTTTCTGTTGTTTAGCTCATTGTGTTTGTTATTTTCAGAAGACACGTCCTCAAAGCCTTTAAAAATCTCTCACCGTAGCAAATATAGCATATCTCCTCCACTTAAGAGATCTGATTCCTATTCGGCAATTTAGATCATTGCCTAATTTTCGAGTTGGTCTCAGTTTTTCACTGGATAAAATAATGAAGCTTATCTAACAGGCTATATTTTTGACAGCATAAAGACAGGGATTTGATTTATTTTTAGCTTTAATTTGTTTGTGTTAAACTAAAGCACTTTGCATGACAACAGCTTTTTTCAGGCAAATTGTTTACTTCTCTAATATATGCTTTAGTTCTCCCCCATCTCCCAGAACAAGCAAAAACTGACATTGCTTTTGATTACTGGAAAAAAATATGCACATCAGAAAGACCTTGGTGCCCAACTCCACATTTGAGGAATTTAGGAATTCATGCAGTCAGAGGGAGAAACGGTTTATTTATTTGAAATTGGGAAAACCAGTTCAGGTAGGCTGCCTACATGGCTCTGCCTCATCTGATTTAGATCTATAAAGAGGACTTTCAGGCTTTTCCAACCAATGCATGAAAAGTGATAGGGCAACAAGGCAGCCTGTCAGCTGAGGAATTCCGGGAGTTGAGTTCCACACATCTTTGTTGCTGAGGTTGAAAACACTGGGTTAAATGCTTGAATAGGGCTCTCCCATACCCTCATATGTGTACGTGTTTGAATTAGTTCTTAATCATCCCTTCATTTCCAACTTATGTGGGTTTTAAACTCTTAAGGACATGCTTGAATTTGTTTATGTTCGATTTTTCACCATTAAACAGCATGGATTTTAAAACAGATAGGACGTTAATCTCTGTATGAGCTGTCAACATCTAAGACACACTTTGACAGAACCATTTTAGTGGTAATATCTAATTACTGGAAATCATTATTGTGGGAGTTCCACTGACTATCTTTTTCATTAGTTTCAAGTTGATAGGTGAAGATCTTTGGGTTTACATAGATTTTTTTAATGTAACCTTTATGTCTACATAGTTTTTAACCCATATGATCTCTGCAGTTAGTTTTCATTCTATTATGTTGGCTGCTGTTTTTTAATTTGTTCATATTTTCAGCATGCTTGTTGTTTTCTTACATTTTTGTGATGTGCTCAATTTAGACTTATAAAACTGGGCTACCAGACTTGAACTGCAAAGCTCCGGACATGCATGAAATAACAAGAAATAGACCCATAAAACTATTTATTTGCTACAAACTAGTGGTTGTTTGCTGTTATAAATACAGCATTTAATCAATTTTCATCCTGTTCAAGGAAACATTTATTCATATCAAGCTGTGATGTATATATCAAATAGGGCAGAATATAATTGTGGAAAAGAAGAATATAAAGGAAAAACCATCTAAATTAGGTCAAGAGCAACATATCATGTTGCATTTACATTTAACAAGCACATACTTAAAATGGGAACTTGAAAAACAGACAATTTTAACCACTTATATTTACATATATTAATATTCTAAAATATATCTGAAAACTTTTGCTCTAGGAACCAATGTTTTAAATTGGTTTATTTAAATTTTTTTGTGTATCAAATGAACAAGCTGTATAATCCTGTAAATGGTTTTAGCAAGTCCTGACAGAAATCCATAATTTACAGGAAGAATATAAAGAATCTATTTTCATCTTGCTTATTCATACTCAGTAGTTTGCATATGAACAAGAATTGTTCTAAAAGTCTCTTGGCAAAGCTTCAAAACATCTCAAAGATAAATGAAATTCTATGGAATCTGCAAAATCTATTTATTTTACATATTAACAGGAGAAAGAAATATGTTGTGTTATGGATTTTGGAATGCTTCTTGTTTTTCCATCAAAAAACTGAATTGGGTATTTATGAGATAAGAGATTTTTCTCCAACGTAGTGCTAAAATAAGTTTCTCCATCATGCCAAGGCAACATGGCTATTGGCTATCTTGTCCAAGGAAGATGGTGGGAAGTGGTGGCCAGTATCCCAGAAACAGCAGTGGGATTCACTTACCTTCCCTACCGGTTCGCAAATATGAGAGGTTGCCCGGTTGCGCTGGCTTTGCTTGCTCGCACCTCATTTGCACATGTGCATTGCTTTCTGTACATGTGTAGTGCTCGCGCATTACATTGGGGTGGGTGGGCGGAGCCTCCTGCAGCTGCCACCACCAGTTCTCCTGAAACACAGAGAACTGGCTGAATACCACCTCTGACCTGAAAGCATCAGATCGGAAGAAAGTTAATTTCTATATACAGGATGTAATTTTAGGATATAATCCTGTGTTTTATTACTTGAAAGTAAACCCCAATGAAACTTACATCTGAATCAAAATTCCACTTTAAAACAATCTTAAATCTATTCTAAAAGATTGAACTATATAAAATGCAGTTGCTTAAGGCCACAATTCAAACATAGTTGCATATGCAAATCAAACTATTTCTTAACAGGCCAATTCAAATGAATTGAAAAGTCAAGACATTTGGAATAAATAAATGACATTTTTAAATTTCTTTTTGTGATTAATGAATTATATCAAAGCCTTTTTTAAGTATCGGCAGGAAGGGAAATATCTTCCCTGTGGCAGTGAGAACTGTGATATTTTTTAACTGAGACATGGCTTGTTAACACAGCAATTGTATTAAGAACAAAATTATAGAATGGGCTTTTCTAAAACCTTTGAATTTATTTACTCTTCACAAATATATATTTAACTTTCACATATCATATTCCACTTTTTCTTAGTCTGGGTATGTAATAGATGGACATTCAGGAAGTTAAAAGTTTCCCAAGTCTATTGTAACTTGCTAAGTTCTGGCAAAATGTTTGGAATTCTACAGCAAGGTTGTTCAGAATTCCATTCGTTTTCATTTGTTCAATGTGGCAATGATGATTCTCTTCTGGAGGTAGATTTCAACCATCTTTTCGATTAGGTCTTCTGTGAGCCAGAAATATTATTTATATACTGGAAAATCTTTACATCCCAACATCAAAGGAAAAAAGGAGTTACATTTTGAGTGACAGGACTGAACCTCTCTTAAAAACTGTCAAAAAATAACAAAAAAGATACCAAGCAGATTATCTTATTATAATAGGGCATTTCCCGATTTCTTAGTGGTGTTTGTAAGAATCAAGAATCACCACCTAGAGTTCAGCGGTAGCCTGCTGGCATTTTTGTCATATAGGGATCTCAGGGATATATAAATTAAGTATATTTAATAGATTTAAGATTCATTAAGAAGTTGACATGATTCATTCCTCCAAGAATATTGGTATAATTAGAGAGAATGCTTTTTGTTCATGTTTTAAGATCGCTGCTCACCTCTGCCAAATTAAATTGGCTTCTCAAATCTGACCTAATTTCAGAAACAGCTTCTCAATGCAGTTAAAAATAAGAAAAGAAAGAGGATATACCTATTGCCTTAGCTGTTAATTGAATAATCAGGACCTG